GTGCAAATTTAATTAAAAAATTAATAATTTTTTTTAATTTAACGATTTTAAATTTTCTGTTTTTAAGATTGTTTTATGCTGAGGAAGATTTAATAACGCCAAAACAATTGTATTAATTTATTATATTTTTATTCATTTATTTACGAATAAATTTATTTTTATTTTTTTGAATTTTCTTAATTGGATTGTTTTATTGGTAATTATCTTTCTTTTTTGTATTTACATATGTAATAATTATTAATTTGTAATATATTTCAGGTATAATACTTTCAAATTTTTTAGGAATAATTATGTACCCATACAGCACAGAACGATTGCAGCAAAATTGTAGCAATCTTTCCTTGCAAGATTGCAATGTTGCAAAAACGTTGCAAAATGTTGCTGCAACGTCGTTACAACATTGCAGCAACGGTCAAATGTCCGCCTTTAGAAATATTGCAATACAATGTTGCAGCAACATTAAAATATAATGTAAAACCTTAACAGCACAGGAATATTCTGAGAACGATCGCAAAAATTTTTATTAATTAGCATTATATACCAGAAAATAAAAGAAATACACACGACAAAATTATGATTTAAAAATAGGTTTGGAAACTAATTTTAGTTTGTATTTCTAAGCGGTCACCCATCCAAGTTATGTACCTAGTCCAACGCTCTTAACCTTTATGATCGTCCGGGAACTGTTGCTTCGTGATGATCTATGAACATTTATTAGTAACAGATATATACCAGTGATACATCTGCTAAATAGAAGTTGTCAAGAAGATAAAATATATATAGTTAAAATATATTTCATTCGTAAATATAAAATTTACATGTATTAAAGTACAAAATTTAATATTTTGACTAACTTTTTTGTTCTCTTTGATATGCGCGCGTTAGACAAGCGTACGTATCACTTTCCGTAGCTTATTAATTAAGTTATTTCTGAGATCATACACGCACGAAAGAAAATGAAATAATACTATACGAGATATTATTGTGTTGATCTCAGTTGTACCGATGATCGTAGTACAATCATGAAAACGGAAAACGAAGAATATCATGTGCTGTTATGTAAAATTAATTGATATTTAATAAAACTTAATGATTATAAGATGTGCGTAAGCGTATACACACAGTATTTAAACACAA